AGGTTGGCAAGTTCTCTCTTCCCCAAAACATAAAATGACTCCCAGTGATAGCATCCCACTGGCTCTCTGGCCATCTCTTGGGCAGCTAGGCTAGGAGCTCAACTTTTAAAATACTGCAGTAAAAGAAGCACAAATCCTTCCAACAAGTCCTTCCCTCTCAGTCTCAGGCCACTGAGCTAACAGCCCTTTCTATGAGCTGCTTCATCTCCAGGGAATCCCCCCACTCCTGCCCTTTCTGTTTATTTTATCCCTGCACAGCCAGAAAGTGAGCAAACATCCCTCTCAGCCATCAGACAGAACAGAGACATAGCATCACATGAATAATCACCATGTTTCTGTATTTCAGTCTGCACACGTACCAGCACTGCAGTCTCAACCATGGGGCACTGCACCAACCCCGCTGAGCTCAGAGGAGCACAGCTCCCCATGCACGTTCCTTCAGGTCTCCCACCATTCACATTGCTTAAACATCACAACGAAGCAACACCCAGCCCCCTCATGCACATGCCTTTTCCTTCTGCCAGTTTTGAAACATGATGAGCTCTTTCTCCTAGATTCTTTATTTCACTGCCACTCCAGAGTCCAAAAGTGCTTTCTGAGGCCTTTCACCTGGCCATCTCCGACAGACTGAAAAATAGGGCTGGTCCAAGGACACGTAACCCATAGCAGGTTGTTCTGTTAGCAAGGGCGGTCATATCTTCATTCCTAGCAACAGGGAAATAGGGAAGAGAACTGGCCCTATTCCGTCTAAAGACACTCATCTGGACCCATCATACGTTGGGGTGGCCAGCAGGAAGAGGGAGATGATTTGTCCTCCCCTGCTCAGCTCTTGTGAGGCCCCATCTGCAGCACTGCGTCAGGCCTGGGGTGCACAGCACAGGAAGGACATGGAGCTCCTGGAGCAGGTCCAGAGGAGGGCCACTAAGATGATCAGAGGGCTGGAGCACCTCTCCTATCAGGAAAGGTTGAGGGAACTGGGCTTGTTTAGCTTGGAGAAGAGAAGGCTCCAGGGAGACCTCATTGTGGCCTTCCAGTACTTGAAGGGAGCTTATAAACAGGAGGGGGAACAGCTGTTTATGAGGGTGGACAGTGATAGGACAAGGGGGAATGGCTTTAAGCTGAGATGGGGAGGTTTAGTTTAGATATTAGGAGGAAGTTTTTCACTCAGAGTGTGGTGATGCACTGGAACAGGTTGCCCAAGGAGGCTGTGGATGCCCTATCCCTGGAGGCATTCAAGGCCAGGCTGGATGGGCAGCCTGGTGTGGTGGTGACACATAGTTGAAACTAGATGATCATTGTGGCCCTTTTCAACCCAGGCCATTCTATGATTCCATGCACATGCAGGATAAATAGTGCTGTCTGCTCAGGAGGACCTTTATTTTCAACGGAACTGCTGCTAGCTTCTGTCAGCATCAGCACAGGGCTACCGTTGTGTTTATCAAACCCTCACTAAGACATTGTCCCTTTGGAAAGTCTGAGACTCCTCAGATAAAATGAACTGCCCTCAGCTCCAGCTTCTGTACCTCTAAAACCACTCTGAGAATACAAATTGAGAGAAAAGACCTTGACCTAAATATCTACGTCTCTTGTACAGATTAACTGCTTTGTCTGCAGAGAGCAGACTGTTGTCTGCAGGATTGAAGAGCGACTAGACAGGACTCTGAGCACCTGATGGAGCTAGAGGTGCCCCTGTTCACGGCAGGGGAGTTGGACTAGATGGCCTTTAGGGGTCCTTTCTAACCTAAATGCTTCTATGGTTCTATGACTGCCTCGTAGGTTCTTTCAAAGTCTACATCTCCCTAAGTCCTCATCTGGCTTCACCATTTCCTGCCATGCAATAGCTCTCCTGGAAGAAAGAAACTGGAATGCTGTTTGCTAAGACAGCCATTTCTGCGTGAATTTCATTACCTCGTTGGGTGTAATCAATATGCTTGGAGAAAAATAATACAGAGATTGTGTCAGGTAGAACTTTTGGAGGGAGTCAAATGCCATCACCTCCTGCCATGAGAGCCATCAGGACAGATCTGTGGGGGCCCATGGAAGAGCCTTCAGCTGAGAGAATCTCTACTGCCTCAGGCCTCTTTCATGAGAAAAAGGAAGGAAAAAATGAGTAAGTAGGTATCCTGACAGCTGAAGCATCGCTTGCCTTGGGATTTTTCTGTGTCAGCTTTTTATTTTATTTTTATTTTATAAACAAGGAATTCACCCAAAATGAAAGTTCAAAAGCTTCTGAATTAAGTTTCTTACACAAGGAAGTAGCATTCTGTCCACACAGAGAACTCTTCACTGAAAACAAAATTCAGAGACTCCATTAACAGACTCTTGATGAACCTCCTGAAAAAGAAGAAAGAGAGGTAGGGAAAGTAACACATCCGAGATTTCCACTGTTCAGTGAAGACCTGAGTGTTGTCTCAGAATGGCTATTTGGAAGCTTCCCCAGAAATTAGTGCCAAAATAGATTTCGATGATTTCACAGAGGACTGACATAAACCTATCAAGAATTCTTACATCATACGTAAAGTTATTGGATCAAGTTCCAAAGCAGGGAAATTGCCCTTCCCACTGCATTCTCCTCTGTGCTGAATTCCTTCAGCCATGAGAAGCTGCATGAAAGCTTACCTTCTGCTCCCTCTGCCAAGGCCTCGTCCTTCAGGACAAGGGGAAATGGTTTTAAGTTGAGAGAGGGAAGATTGAGGTTGGATGTCAGGGGGAAATTCTTTACTATGAGAGTGGTGAGGTGCTGGCACAGGCTGCCCAGAGAGGTTGTGGATGCCCCGTTCCTGGAGGTGTTCAGGGCCAGGTTGGATGGGGCCCTGGGCAGCCTGGTCTGGTATTAAATGTGGAGGTTGGTGGCCCTGCATGTGGCAGGGGGTTGGAGATTCATGATCCTTGAGGTGCCTTCCAACCCTGGCCATTCTGTGCAATACGCTCTCAGAGGAGAGAGTGAGGTCCCTATGGAGCACAGAATGCTCTGCTAAGCCTCAGCCTATGCTGAGCATTTCCAGTGAAACCTGGCCTCTCTGAGGTCCAGGGGAGCTTTATCACTGGCAGCGTCAAACCAGGACAGTTCAAATGACCTCTTGGAAGTTAAGAGAAGCTGGGATCAGCTGGGTCTGACACAGGAGCATGTGAAGAGGCCTAGGGGTCCTTGGAACTGGAGACTGGGAGCAATAGGGACAGTGACCACCAGCACAGACTGCCACCTCTGGTCACAACATGAGAGGTTTGCTGGCACTGGCAGGAATCTCCACCTGCTGGATGTGCCTTGAAGATGCTGTGCCCTGGAGGAGGACTGCTGCAGAAAATGTACAGGTCATACCAACGTGGGGCTCTGCCTTCCTCTTGTTTGTTAGACTGTAAATGAACAACCATTTAAACATATTTGTTATTTAAATAAGGCCTAAACTGGATCATAGTTATTATGAAAGCCATCGCACTGTGAAACAGCTCTTTTCACTTCTAGGAGATCTTTCTCCTAGAAAAGCACTCACTCCTGGGTGAGTGAGTACTGCAAAGGGCATCAGCAGTGGCATTAGTTCTGTTCTGCAATAAGCTCCTCAGTAAACCTCTGCAATGCATTTTGTTAACATCTACCTGCTGTCCTCCTGCGTCATTTTCTCCTTCAGTATTTGTGTCCTCTCTGAGCATCTAAAGAGTCCATCTGGTTTTAATCAAAGAAATATTTCATAACGTTTCCAAGCCTTGGAGAATATCAGAATCATTTCAACTCTTCTAATGCCTCTGCAGCCAGGACCACAGCTCACAGCCCTCACAGGCAAGCAGAATCCTGTTCTCTATGCAGCGCTGCAGTAGGAACTTCAGGAAAACCAGCTGTGGTGAGATTACACACAGCAAGTTTAACTTGTCAGATCTGCCCAAGCCAGACATCCTCATGACAGAATCCTAGAATCATTAAGGTTGGAAGAGACTACTAAGATCACCAAGGCCAACCATCAACCCATCCTCACCACGCCCACTACGTCCCTCAGTGCTGCATCTCTGTGTTTCTCAACAGCTTCCTACCTCCTCTTGAATGAACAGAATCCACGGTGACCTGAAATGGCAGTCAGTCAGTGCACAGACACCCAGCTGTGGCTGTCCCTCAGTCTGGGAGCCAGGCTAGCTCTGCTCCAAAGACACCAGCAGCTGAAGCTTGCAGGGTGCAAGGGTCTGAGCTCAGCCCCCTGTGGCTCTGCTGAGACACATACCAAGTTGTAACACCCTGTGAAGGCCCATGCTCCTGCCACGGAAGGTCTTCACTTTCCAGAAGCACATCTCGCCTGATGACGCCAGGACCTTTGCACTCCTACACCACTCCTACACAGAAGCTGACCACACAGCTTATCAAGGAGCAAGGAAGGTTCCTCCTGCATAAGCTCATCGGTCAATCTGCAAACACATCGGACCAACGCTTACAGCTATGTGATGTGTGCTCAATTCATGCAAACAAACTCCCAGACATTCCCAGGGCTCATTTGCCTCAGATGTGCCTCTGTCTCCGTGTGGCTCAAGTACAAGAAATCAGTGCAAGGAACAAGCCCAGGTAATGCCTCAAAAAACAATTAAACCAAGAATCTCCCTTTCCTTAACTTAATTGATGCCCCAACCACTCCTGGTGCAACGCCTGAGAAACAGTCCGTCACAGGAGTCAGTCACAGCAATGATTTGCCTCTGCAGCCAAACTGCTTCACACGCCATTCATTCCCTCCTGTCTGCCCTAAGCTTTGCACTACAGTTTTACGTTTCCTGGTCGCAACGATCACAGAGCTCCACTCCAATTAGCTGGTAGTGTGCAGACACCACTACAGCTCTATCGCCACAAAATGCTGTAACAGAATGGGGAACCAGGCCCTTAGTTTTTAAAACTCAATTGTGGTCCTGCTGACTTCTGCAGCCAGTATTTTACCCACTGAATCCTTTTCCCTGTAGCTCACTCCTTGCTGAGTGTTTATCTATCTGAGTTTGGTCATTATTTTGTTAACACATGCACACAGTGTTCATTACTGTTAATAAACAATCTTTTATTCTGACATTTTAGAAGAGCTAACAGTCTGCATCAAAAATGCTTCCACAAAAAAGAAAGGCAATCGAGGAAGTACTGTGGTCTACAGCTTTTCTAGAACCACACACCAATTTCCCTGATCATAGTAATTCTTCAGAATCCTCACACAGTCCAAGGATCTGCATGCTGCTTCCAGTTCCCCTTCACGGAACACGTGGTAATAGCGGTGGAAAACAGGACTGAGTTCTTGTGACTCCTTACAGCCAGCTGGAAATGATACTTCATCAACACTTGCCCCTTTCTTTTTGATGCCACCTTTCAAATGCCAGGGAACCAGCATATCCTGAGAGTGAAAGGAGGTCCGGTTGGTGTGAACAGGCAGCCTGGAGTCCACTGCTTGCTTTGCAGCACAGCCTTTGTCCTCTGAGTCATCAAGCAGTCGGGCAGAACATGCTGAGCCTTGGCTGCTGCTATCAGGCTTTTGATCATCAGGCAGTCTCTGGGACATGCCAGTATTGCTTGCCTCCTCCTTGTTTTTGCTGCCATGCTTTTCCTTAAGATATTTAGACTTCTGGTTTTTGTATTCTTGCTCCATTGCCCACACATAAATGAGTGCCATTCCACCAGGCTTTAGAAGCCGGGCTAGTTCACGGATAGCTGCCAGCCTTCTTTCCTATAAAGAAAAAGCAGAAGTGGGAAGCTGGTATGCAGATAAACAGAAAAGACAGGAGAACGGAACTGGCAGCACGTCCAAAACATATAATAAAGACCAGAGAAATTTTTTCCACTGGACAATATCCATTTCTGCTTACTATGTATGAGCCTACAATGCCGTACTCTAGATGATCACTGTGGTCCTTTTCAAGCCAGGCCATTCTATGATTCTACGAAATAACTCACAATATAGGCTGCTATGCACAAAGTAAGCCATTTTCCTGAACACAGTTCTCTTGCCTTTTGAAAATGGTGCTGTGCAGGTTTTCCTGGACATTTCAGCCTAGTTGGAAATGACAGTCTCATCAATATAGATGATTGAGATCTTCAACTCTTTGGAAGGGTAGATAACAGCAGGACAAGGGGAAATGGTTTTAAGTTGAGAGAGGGAAGATTGAGGTTGGATGTCAGGGGGAAATTCTTTACTATGAGAGTGGTGAGGTGCTGGAACAGGCTGCCCAGAGAGGTTGTGGATGCCCCGTCCCTGGAGGTGTTCAGGGCCAGGTTGGATGGGGCCCTGGGCAGCCTGGTCTAGTATTAAATGTGGAGGTTGGTGGCCCTGTATGTGGTGGGAGGGTTGGAGCTTCATGATCCTTGAGGTCCCTTCCAACCCGGGCCATTCTGTGATTCTACAATGATCTAAAATTCTAGATTCAAATATAGAGTTTGTAGTTAAAGGATTTAAATTCACAGCTTCAACACAGGTCCTCCAATTACCTCAATTAAGATATGTCAGACTTCTCCAAAATAAGTCTGCTTCCTATTTTTTATACTGCATTTGGAAGCATTCACTTCACTTCTGTAAGATGACACTATGGTATTATGGTTTCGTGGCCTAGAAGCTTGTTACAGCTGCACAGCTCCTGCCTGAAGCTTAGACAGCACAGAAATAAGGGAGCAAATGAGCAGTGTCCCCATTGTCTTCAGAATGAATCCACAGAACTGAAACCATGAAATCTGTTCAATGTCGGAACCTGGAAATAACACATCTCCTGAATCCCAAAGCAAAGCCCACTTTCTCTGGAGTCACTAATTGTAGGCAGAACAAAAGGAAACAGAAACACCTAGAAAGTGCCAGGAGGAGCAAGTGTACCTGAGGGGGAGGAGGAGAATGTGAAGAGAATGTCTCAGAGGTAGCGTCAGTCCAACAGCTTAGTTCTGCTCTGACAACTGCTTAATAGCAAACACACACGTCTGATCTTCACTTCATATTGTTCTGCTTTGTTTCCGTGATCCCAATCTACTAAACTGTTTTGCTGCTTTTCTTAGTTTTGTTTTCAATATTAGTAGCTCTGCAGAGCAATGCAAGAGCACAGTGGAGCACAGAAATGGGTGACTTACTGCTGTTGAGAAATGGTGGATGACAGCAATAGAGATGCAGGCATCACAAGAACCACTCCGGATTGGCACTGATAGGGCATCACAGACAAAAGCCTGGGAACCTTTTTCTCCACAAATACCCACAAGGTTTTTGCTGCGATCACAGCCGATCTGTAACAGAAAGTGTTCCATTAAGCTTCTCGTAAGGATAAATCACAAGAGTGAAAAATGATTTTCACTTGATGTTTCCAGTAATAGAGTCATCACAGCCTCCTGTCAAGGTAACACATTCTAGTTCAAAACAAAACCAAGAGCAAGCACAAAAAATAGCCTTAAGTAAGAGAAATCTATGAGTCCCAGATATCAACAACAAGAAGAAAAAAATGTTTACTTAAAAGTGAAAGATAGCAGATTGGCTGCTCGCTCATCACAGCAGCTCAGTTTTGAACCACGATAAGACAGAACAGCTCTCAGCATTTTTCAAAGCTGGCTCTGATGGTATCTTGAGACGAGAAAATAACAAGCAAAGAGATGACCAAACCCAGCCCCGGTATTTTCAGAGCCTTCCAGCTGCCACCATAACACAAGGGCATTTTAAGCAGACAAATAACGAACTAAAAAATGCTGAATCTACAAGTATAAATGCCAAAGTGGTGACTCTGCACTACGTCACACAGCTTCACCAACCACGTGCATTTTCAGGTGTGAGTTCAGGTAAGCAAGTGCTTTACAGTGCTTTTCGACCTCAGCACCAAAATGCACACAAGGTTAAGCTTTCATACTCAGCACAACACAGTTTTCCAGGTTCCTGTCCAGCCCAAATGAAATGATCTCCAGAAACCATTTTGAAACTCTTCATCAGAAGTTCCTTTTTCCCTCTACCCAGTATCCAAGTCAAAGACTGTAAGAAAAAGCATCTAGAAAAAAGGGTGTTTTACACACTTGCAAAGAAACAATACATTCAAACTGATTAAGACCCTTCTATAAGGATAAAAGCAGTGATGCATACACCACCCTCATTTTTATGTCTGCCAAGCACACTCAATATTCAAACCAAAATCCTGTTACAAAGTCATATATCAAACTCAGCCTGCATGAGAACAGTAAATTTATTTTTGTTTTCAATGATCAGCAACAAACAGATAACCAAGAGCAGAGTCAGATTCCTAAGTAATTACTGCTGACAGCATTTATCTTATTCCACGCAGAAAGAATATTAAACCATCCCTGATGCAAGTATAGCAGACTGCTCGAATTCATCAGCTCAGCAGAGATGACAGTATTGCCAAAATTAAAAACCTCTTTTGGAGCAATTGATAAAAATAAACATATTTTCCATTACATCTCCCAATTGTGTTAGTTAAAATTCTTTTAGCTTTCCATCTACCATCATAGTATTGAAGAAAGCCAGGATTCTGTTCCAGATTTCCTGAAAGCTTCCTTGTAGAGATTTCCAGACACTTTGGATCCTAACTTTTGATCCAATTAAATTGTTCTGAAAGTGCCAAACTGAGAAGCCAAGATAACTTGCCACAAAACCAGCTCCACGTGTACGTACACATTGTTCTGACAATTAGCTCTAAACAGACCTGAAAAGATCAATCCCAGTAGCACCTTCTTCTCATTTATTTCTTGGCCTCTTCTTAGGGTTTACTGAAGCAGAGAGTGAACAAAAGAGGGAATTCTTGTTTACTTGGAAGTAAACACAAATCCCATCATTTCACACTGGATACCAACTGAAGTGTCTTTAAATTACTCTCATCATGGAATGAATTTAGCTGACAACCTGCATGCTGGAGATTCCATGCCTCATTACCAGTGCCCTCCACTACTTCTGCAATTGAGACATCAGAATGCAGTAATTATTAAAGTCAAAGGACCTAATTTGATGCTGGCTGAAAAAGGAGGAAGACGAGTACTTGCAACTTCCATAAGCTTTCCCAGAAATAATTGCTTGGGCCCCACACTTCTGTAGCAAAAACAGGTTGGACAGTGAAATTTAATCCTCCCCTCCAAAAATGACCTTGAAAAGGGCTGCACTGTATGTTAATGGAATTCAGCGAACTGCAAACAAGAACAAAGGCACCACTGCTAGAATGTGAATTCCTCATTTGCATCTAAATTATATCAAATAATTACGAAGTCAGGCTTACTTGTAATGTCATACTTGAAGTGAATCAACATCCAAAGCAAAAAGATTCCATTTTGCAAGGAAAATTGAGACCTTGAAATGGATGGAAGTGAATGCACAGCTGCTCTGAGATAGATGAGGCACACCTCTATGTTGGTTTTGATATAAACACTGTAATAGGTGCTGCATATATATGCAGAAATGCTGAGCGTGGGGAGTCATCCCAAATCTGCCTGGTGCTGGAGCTAAGCAAATATAGCATCCTTACTGGAATTATCTTTGCATGATATTTTAAAAGAATTACAATCACTGTATTTCCACATTTTGTAGCTTACAAGAAACACACATTCATTCAAAACCAGTTATCTACTGGTTTCAGCCTCTGAGAAAACAATAAGCTGGCAGCAAGCAGCTAATTTCAGAGGTGCAGTGCCAGCTCACATGTGGAGACCAAGTCCATCGATGATTTTTACGAACATATAAAGCATATTTCAGAACAGGGTTGATGTGTCTAAGAATACATTTTCAGCAAGAGACAGAAACCTCAAACTCAACTTTTCCCAATTCTGTTACCTGATTTCTAATTCTGAAGTGTGAGTGAAGCTTTGATGTGATGATGCTGCATTCACAGAAAACAGTTCAAAGAAATGTTTTTAAATAGTTTTACTTTTTCTCTCTCCAATCAAACATGTAATCAAACCATTATAAAATCTCAAAATAGAACTATAATGCTGTAATTTTCACCAGTTCATATTGCTGATGCTTAGCATAGGGTACAGCATGATTTCTCTTCTAGAACGACGTAGAAAGGTAGAGGAATTAGCTCAGTGTCCAAAACGGAGAGGATCTTAACCTACAACACTCCTTGGTGAGCTGAGCTTTATATATTTTTAAGGTTTCACATTTCTTCTCATTTCTTGAGCCCTCTCTATCTTTAAATACACTATGCGCTGAGTTTTCCAAATCCAACTCATTGCTTCAGCCACCCAATTTCTTATTTATCTCACACAGCACAGCTGACTGTTCAGCTGAATCCACCTCTTAGCCAGTCCACCTCTCACCACGTTGCTTTGAATCTTTTAGCATCTCCCCAGAAGAAGGGATTTCAGGCACTAATTTTCATTGTATCTGAATAAACATTACCTGCATCCAATTCCTGGTTTTAAGCCAGGAAATGTGTATCAGCAAACCTTCAGATAAATGAAAGAAGTATCAAAAAAGACTAAGATGAAAGGGAAAAGGAAAGAGAGAAAGAAAAGTAAAACTTGTAACTTGTATGAATTTCCAGGAGCTCAGTATTGGGTTCCCTGGAATGAGATAACACAAGCACAGATCCCACCCTGATCTTCACCTCTGCCATCTCATCCAGGAGTAGTTAAACTAAATTTTGTAAATCTATTTGATGCAGTGGTATGGAACTGTTCATTAGGGGAAAAGAGCACTAGACAAATCACATGCTTTGTAATGCTACTGCAAATCTTGCAGGCTTAAATAAAGACAGGTAAAGACAGGTCAGTGTTGCCCACTGTTACATATTTTCTCCCTGCGTTATCTCATTATTACTGAACTCCATCTGGCTGAATTAGCTCATTTAAGTATCTGTAAACCTGACCGATGCAGCACATTAGAAAGTGACGAAAAAAAGTACATCTAATTCTGAAATCCAACCAGCAAATGGAATGATATGGCTCCCTAGAGAATCACTGCAGCTATAATTAACGTCAGAGCCTCAAGGAACCCAATTACATTCCAGCACACATGCACACACGAAGAAAAAAAGATACCAGCACAGACACTGCAAGACAAATCTCCCTGCTCCAGTTGGTCTGCCTGGCCTTCAGTACTCTTTTCACGTAGTGTTTTCCCTCTCCATTCCATACAGTCAGGGTGCCTTCTGAGGTCTCTTCAGACCCAGATCCCCCACCATTTTAACGATTCCTACTCATTGGGAATAAAAGGGTAGGAAAGGCTCCTCTGCCTCACCCTTCAATTGCTAAAATATCCTGTGATCTGGCTCCAGGCAAACCTTCACCAGCTGGTTTTATCCCTCCTGTTTTTACTTACTGCTAAGTCCATTAGGAACCTGCTCTCAAACAACATGGATCCAGCACATATTTTATGCAACATCAATTCAGATCTTCACCATTCCTCCTCCCCAAACCCTGACAAAATATAGTTCCAGCTGATCTCAGTTCAGGACAGCAATGCAGAGAAGAAAAAAAAAAAGAAAAAAAAAAAGAAAAAAAAAAAGGATATGAATGTCTGTATTAAAACCAACCATTAGGGCTCCTGTATTGCCACCATTTTTCTTCCTAGCATAACTATTCTGGTGAGTAGAGTCACTTCTTTAAACACAAAGAAAAATATCTACCCAATGCTTTTTTCAGTTGTTACTAGATTTCTTACCAGTTTGTCCATTCAATTAGAAGTGGAAACCAGAAAACAGAAATGCCCTTCTGACTGAACTGAAATGTTCAGTGTCCTTCAGTCACACCTCAGCCCCACGCAGGGATGCTCCTGTAGGGATTTGCACATCATCACACCTGCCCAGACACTGGAAACCGTAAAGACAGAGCTACAGCTCATAAAAATGGATAAGATACACTGGAATGCTGTCAACAGGCTCTGGAATGAAACCCTTGTGGTGCTTGTGTGTGGGAAAGACTGAAATATTGCATTCTATAGAATAAAAGTCCTGTTTATAGATATGGATGTTGAGCTTGATAACACTGAAATATAAACTGCCAAAGCGATTCCTCCAAATGAAATTGGATGGGAAGGGGATTGCATAACAAAACCCAACCAACCAAACAACCCTACAGACATTTCTCTTTTGCATTCTTTTCAACAATAAAAGAAAAGCTGAGAGTGACAGAGAAAGAAAAGTGAACTCAGACAACTGGTCTCAGATTCTTTCTCCAGTCCTTCCCTACCTCCATCAGAATGGATTCTATCTCTCTTGGACATTCTTAACCTGAATTTCTGTTTGTTACGAAGTTACTGTCCTTATATGTGTCACAATAATGCAGCCATTACAGAACTGTCATTTTCCTTGAACACAGCTGGACTCATCACGTCTCATCTAAAGAACCTGAAGTAAAAATGACAGTATGGTGCACGGTTAAGATATTTTTGGACAGAGCTCATAGTATAAGGAGGTACCTTAACTTTGACCTACCATTACAGCTACATCTTGAATGCTGTCTATAAATGCAGACTAACCTCTGCAGCACAGTACTTGCCCCCAGGTCCCTCTATCTGGTTTTCAGTATTCTGAGTATTTCTGAGCAAATGGTGTCCTGGGCTCCATCAGAAGAGGGGTGGCCAGCAGGGACAGGGAGGTGATTGTCCCCCTCTACTCTGCTCTTGTGAGGCCCCATCTGGAGGACTGTGTCCAGGTCTGGAGCCCCCAGTACAAGAAAGACAGGGAGCTGTTGGAGAGGGTCCAGAGGAGAGCCACGAAGATGATGAGGGGACTGGAGCACCTCCCCTACGAAGACAGGCTGAGGGAGCTGGGCTTGTTCAGCCTGGAGAAAAGAGGGCTGTGATGTGACCTCGTTGCAGCCTTTCAGTACCTAAAGGGAGCCTACAAACAGGAGGGGAATCAACTCTTTGAAAGGGTAGATAACAGCAGGACAAGGGGAAATGGTTTTAAGTTGAGGCAGGGAAGATTTAGGTTGGATGTCAGTGGGAAATTCTTTCCAGAGAGAGTGGTGAGGTGCTGGAACAGGCTGCCCAGAGAGGTTGTGGATGCCCCGTCCATCCCTGGAGGTGTTCAAGGCCAGGTTGGATGGGGCCCTGGGCAGCCTGGTCTGGTATTAAATGTGGAGGTTGGTGGCCCTGCATGTGGCAGGGGGTTTGGAGCTTCATCATCCTTGAGGTCCCTTCCAACCCTGGCCATTCTGTAATTCTGTGAAAAGCCTATCACTGACATACAACATATACAACAACAATTTACCAAATTAATTCTAGGACTGAATAACCTACATGAGGCCCTGGAAAGTTTTTTCTTTAGTTAAGTTTACTGATTTTTCTTGCAGCCAGGAGTGAAAGACTGAAAGGTATTGAACATTAACAATTATTTTCAGCCTACAGCAGTCAGGCACAAACATGTCTGCTTATAAATCAGTTGTTTTTTTCCTAGCTTATAAGTGAGTAATGGAAATTAATGTACTACAAATACAGACAGGGCTGTAAATAACAACTTACGTTTTATAGCCATATAAAAATAGCAGGACAGAAACTTCTGTTTCTCTGTTGTAACATACAAACAAGTCTGACTTTTATTATTAATAATGAATGCTTTGACTAACAAGAGATCCATCAGGCTTGAAAAATTCGAAGTGCTTCATAGAACAAACACAAAAGAATCAGACAATTCTGGAACAGAGGGAGCATAACACACACCTCTCAAATATTTATTTTGGGAAAAAGAATAAAAAGTTTGATGTTGCAAAAAAGTCTTTGAAATATTTGCAATAAGAAAATGAAATATTTTGCTTTGTATTTGTATGTTCTTTATGTCCCCATAATAGGAAGGGAGACAAGCAAAAGTGGGCTGAGTCACAGATTGTGAGACAGGTAAGGTGATGATAACACACGAACAGTGTCATCAGGACTTGAGAAAAGCAAGGAAAAGCAGTGAGAAAGGTTCCCAATCTGAGCTGAAGCAGAGATTCCAGCAGGAATTTCGTCGGCATATTCATGTGGCCTATGCACAGATCCAGGTTGGAAAGCCAGACCCTATCGTTCACAAATAAGCCGCGCCAGCAGTCCAGACGGAACTGCAGAGGATGTGTACAAAGAAGCACAGTCCATGGTGATTTCTGCAACCCCTACATTTCCCACTCACCAGCCAAGTCACACACCTGTTGGAAAAATTCAAACTGCTCTACTTTCCCTTCTAATAATCTCACTCTACAGCACTAGCAAAAAAGGCAAAAGGATCCATGACAATTATTCAATCCAATGCACCCATTACTCCTTTTTTATTAATATAGTCTAACTTGCAAAGCAAAAGTGGCTTTGAGAAAAAGGCTACTACACATAGCAAATGGATGTGGAAGCCCAACATAATTGGCAACTGATCTTCAGTCAGGCAACAGCTCCCTGCCCTTGGCACTTTTCCCACAACTGAAGCTCCAACATGCCACAACTGCAAGACACATTAAAAACTGGTACTGGTGAAAACAAATGACAGTAGCTACTACTTACCATGTACAAATCCCTGTTGATGCCTAGATATTTCCCATTACCACAGCCAACATCAGCAACTATTGACCCTTCTGGCAGTGACCTGAGAAACTCAACAACCCGGGGCCACGGGCTGTGCCTGGTACTACTGAAGTGTGTGGCAATCTCTTCATACACCTTGTGTACATGTTCCTGCTCCAGCTCTGAGGCCTCCATCTCACTGTGTGGAAATGATGGTTCTGCTTGTCTTTGCTGTTCTTTCTGGCTGTCACAGACAGATGGGTAAACTAGATACAGCAACAGACACACAAACAAGAAAAAAATGTTAGCAAAGTCATCCTGTACTGAATAAACATTTTAAGTAAAAGAAAACAAGAAATAAAATATTGAAATGCAATAAATGCTTCATTCCCTCCTTCATCTTTCAAAAACTGCAACATGGACCAAACTGCAAATGTATTTGATGATTTTATAACAATCAGTCTGGCCATGTGGTCAGACAGAGGCTGTCTATAAGTGATCAAGACAGGTCTGCTAGCAGGACACAAACGGATTTCAGTTCCACATAACTATTGAGCCATCTATCAACTGTCCTAAGGCTCCATCACTGCAGATAAGCATGGCTCTATTACTGCAGATTTGATTGCTTTTCCTTCCCTCACATACTTATTTTCACAAAACTACAGTTTTCCTCCAACGAAAAATAAGCAGAACTGATAAGAACCTAACGAATAGTAGCTACTTCTATTATAGTTGATTATTCCAGGTGCCAGTAAAATCCAGGATTCCAGATTAATTGTCTGACTCTGGTGTTACACAAATGTCTTGCTACCCTGAGAAACTCCAGCAGCCATGCAGATGCAATCAATTCAAACCATACAGTACAGCTAACCACAAACTATTTACAAATAGCTACTAGGACTGCCAAAACTAACTAACAGGGCAAACTACTTTGTTCAAAACATGCTTACATACTGATGATACAGAAGTAACAATTTTGACTGGAAAAGCAACTCAAGACACTTACTGCAATTGCAAGAGCTTCTCCTCACTTTCCTAAATGTAAACGATGTCCTTGTTTCCCTTCGTTTCAGTGTTAAATCTCTAACATCAGCAGTGATTGTTCCAACTTTCTGTCCAAGTTCAGATGCTTGAATGACATCATATTTTCTGGGTGTAATCCTAAAACAAAGTCACATAAAATCAAAGATTGATTTAATTTGCATCGGAAAAAAAACAACCATTCATCTTTATAAGATGGCAATTCTTAAACACTGACAAGTGTGATTACAACAGACCATTTAATGTACTACTGCTTTTGTTTCCAGCTTATTATGTTTTAAAGGAGAAAAGAGGTACTGACACATAAACTAATGATGTTAATTAACGTGTTATTTAACTGAAAGGAATAACATTTTCTTTCCCTTCCTTTCTTTCCCTCAATAAATGTGATTATTTTGTTAGGACTTAATCTGAAATACATTTCTTAAAGATGAAATACATTACTAAAAATGGTGGCTACAGGTTTAAAAGAATAGAATCCACTCGCTCTAAACTCACAGACTGAAGTTTCTTGTTACAAAAAAAGCCTCTTCAATGAACTCTGCTTTACAACATAACTGCTTTTCTGTTTATTGACTAAAGCAGATGCAAAGTCTGGAGCACATCAGAGATCTGCAAAAACGCTCATGGAGTAGCAAGATGTATTTTTTCTTTCTTGACCAAAAACTAGCAATCAAGCAAAGTGGGAACTGAGTTTCTTCAGCTACTTCTGGATCTGCCATAGACACTAAGGGAAAACAAAAAAACTTTTATAATATTTATATAAATAAAAAATATATAATATAATAAATTATTATAATTTATAATATAATAATAATGATATATTACTATATTACATATATTATATATTATGTATTATTATATTATTTTATTATTTATTATATAATAATTATAATTATAATTATAATAATATATAATATTATTATATATTATATAATATATATAATATATAATATATAATTATAATTATAATAATATATAATAATAATTATTATAATTATTATATTGTATTATTATACATATAATAATATATATAATATAATATATAATAATGTATATAATATATTATTATATTATACTATTGTATTATATATTAATATATTATTAATATATTGTGTTATATATTATTATTATATTGTATTATATATTATTATAATATTATGATTATAATACATAAATATTTATATAAATATTTATTATATCTAATAATTTTATGAAGATATCAACATTACAAAATGTACCAAAAATTCTGAATCACTTCGGAGTGGATCTCTCCCAAAGTTGACAAGAAGAAAATGTGAAAATAAAATGGCAAAATCAGTACAAGAGAAGAGGTGCAGCTGCACCCACATGTGGTTTCCCATCACTTGCACATGGGACAAAGTAGATACTTTTGGAACAAAATACAAACTCTTCAGGGAAATGGTTTAGCACTTCAAAGCTGTTACTGTCACACTGAAACATTTCCTGAGCTCAGTTCTCAAGGAGACTAATGCAGAAATTTCCTCAAGGAAAAGAAAAAAAAGCCATCTCTAAGGAATAGTTGCCTCAGTGAAGCCTCTTTGGAGCTGCTGACTTCAAAGTACTTGATTCCCAGCAGCACAAACTCTCACTATGAAAGTGACTTCTGTATTGGTTAGCTGAGTTGAACCCGTAAAAAAAGATTCTGTGATTCTAACCCTCATAGGTTGAACTAAAAGGGAGGGGAAAAAAGTCTCTTGCATCTTTTAATAAAGCAGAGCCAACAGTCACAATCCTTACTCATAGTGGGACTTTTCTGTGGGTTACACAGAACTGCTGGTCAGGGCCTGTATTAAGCAAGCAAAAGAACCATCTGAATGATGAGAAAGCAGCCACGCCAGCACCTGTTATTTGTCATCCCTTTTGTCAGGGAAGTTGGTCTTTAATCCAATCATAGAGAAAGACTGCGGGTCCCTCCTGCTTGAAGGTCTTAAAGCAGCACATTGATTGCCTGTGTAGTTCTTGTACAAAGAAGACAGAGCAGACTCAGGTATAGAAATCACCCCTAGAGGCAGCCATGGGAAGGATGGGATCTAATAAAGAATTGCCGTGTCCAGTAATGAAACTATGATGAAATAATCAGTTAATGATAGTCGAGATTCCACTGACAGCTGAACTTCAAGCCCAAAGTTTGTCGATTTTTTATTGGCTTTACTGTTCACACAAACTCATATTTGTACTTGCAGCAGTAAGCTGTGCATACTAGGAGCTAATATTTTCAGACAGCCTTTTTCCAGGTTCCTTTCAACCTACATGATTCTCCTTTTGTCCATGCTACAAGTAAGCTCAGCCTTTTATCTAGTGTTCTAAGAATAAGATTCTCAATGTCATAAATAAAATACTATCATTTTCGTTGGACAGAGTTGTTTAATTTTTGGATGGAAAAACACCGTTCCTGATGCTGTCACAATAATTAATACTAGTTACATAATTAAAACTAGTTCTACTTTCACCTATGAGACATAAAAAGCACACATCCTCTGGTCTACCTGATGATTTCTTAACCTTATGTTTCCTTCAGATACACGTTATCAGAAAGGTTAGAATGAAAATGCTTTTCATGAGCACTTTGTTAACAGGGTTAAAGTCCCTGTTTCTTTTTGCATCCAAATGTACACAACAGAAGTATTTCCAGAATTATTCTAAAAACAAACCTTTTGCTCTTTAATTTGACATCTGAGGAATAGATAAAAAACATCAGAAATGATCTTAAAGCCATTCTGATGCAAGTGAAGTAACTACGCTTCCTTGCTGGTTGATCAATCTTACTGATTGCAATGGCACATTTCGCTAGCATCAAGACAAGTTTGCTCTTTACTGGCACGCTCTGCAATCCTACTGTTATCTCTGTTCTCCTTAGTTTCAGAAGATGTCCATTTACCAACAAGGTACAACAGTGAAGATGTGATCTGAGAAATACCTGATGTTGCAACTACAGGTACTTAAAAGATAAAGAATTTAATTGGAAAAAGGAAGACAAATAAGTATTTCCTACTCTGAAATACTGAGATCCCAATACTAATTTACCCTAGTTGACTATGACCAACTACTGCTTCTGAAAACATTTTCCATACAGAAAAGCTATTTTTAGGAAAAGCAAACAAGGAGAGGGGGTGGGAATACATGAGTAAAAAGACTTGAGATCTTCATTACAAACATAGCTTGCATCCTTGGTTTTTAAAACACAATCATCATTGAAGGTAAAAGTGAATTAAGCACTGGTCTCAGTCTAGTTCTTACTAGGCAGGTATACCAGCCCAAACCAAACAGGCTGGCAATCACTGCAAGTGCAATGTGTGCATTATCTGTCCCTCTCCCACAGGTTTGGCTGCCTGGGTGCAGGGCCAGCTTGGGAAGAGCAGAGCTAGTGGTCCTGGAGAAAGATCTTGTGAAGCAAGCCAGAAATCTCAACGAGGGCTGACTCTCCTTCCCCCAGAAGCTGCTTTTAAGTTCAGGCTGTCCTGCTGCGCCATGCCCAACCCACAGCCCAGGTGTGCCAGCTGTCTGTGCATGCCATAGCCCTGCTGATCCAGGCCTGGACCCCTGGCTGATGTCCCCACATGGCCTCAGCCTGCCCTACACCATGGCCAATGGGACACACAGCTGGAGCCAACCTGATTGCTCCCCTGCGCCACTCCAGGCCAGCAAGGTCCCTTATGTGAAAACTGAACGCTGTTTTCAGAGTTGTAGATAACCCTTCCAGAAAAAGGCAGGTGCTATTTGACAGAATTGAGTAAGAAGCTTATAATGCTGAGATCCATCTCTAGTCTTGTACACTAAAAAACAAAGGACTTCACTGCCCTGAATGATCATCAGGAATACCAGCTGCTTTTTACAGTTATTTAATGTAATGAGCAACTACACAGGTGGTGTAAGTGCTCTACAAAAATGAACAACATGCAGGCCATTGGGGAGTTCACATTCACTCTTCTTCACTATAGAAAATAACCAGTAAAATTAAAAGGCAGAAAATTTGTCAATAATAGGATTTGGTCTTTTATTTACAAAATGTAATTAGTCTCTCCAATTTACTGCTGTAATCAGTGATTCTTTGGGTTGAACAATGGAAAAAACATTTACTGGGGGCATTTCTGTGCAGTAGGAGGATTTACATATTCTTCTGAAGTAAACTACTGTCACTCAAACCTTGCCAAGTTTTTAGCCTTTTGACATTAGCACTCCTTTGTAAGGCCTTCCCTGTGGTGCATGATTCAAAAATCTGATTTAAACTGTACAATAAGCAAAGCCTCAAGAAACGTTTCAAGAATTCTCTTTTCCAGGATCCCAAACCTGTTCACTACAAAGCAGCCTTATCAGTAGTTGAGATGGTCCTAAAGCAAAAGGAAGAAGCCCAGGAAAACTCATTCCCCTTTGTGACACTAAAGCCTTCTATGCAGGAGAAGTCACCCTCCTAAACCAACTCTTCTTCAAAGGTTTTGGCATATGTGACTGTACGGGAGCTGTCGAGTCATGGCCTGAACCACTGAGGAAAGGACTGGGTCAGCTGTGGGAGCACAAGTGAAAGCAACTCAGCTGTGTGACCAGAAGGAGGCAGGCTCCACCCGTCCTAGATCCCATTTAAGGACTGACTGCCACTGGGGAAGGATTCCTTTCTGGAGATCTCTCCTTTGTGGAGTCTTTCTGAATCTTCAAACGCAGATGAGCATTCCTTCTCTGTTTGTTACTTTTCATTTCTCCACAATATTCTTTCCAATTCTAACACCATGATATTTTTTCCAACTGTAACAGTGATTCAGCAGAAAAAACTGTGGGCTGAAAAGAGGATAAAGAAATGAAGCTAATTCCAGTGCAATAATTCCTTGCCACCTTAGAGGACTTTCATACAGTGAAAAGTGCAAGGGACTTCTGAGTGAAACAACTTGTGAGAGCTGCAGCTCGGGGATTGACAACTAGTTTCCTAAAATCCCCAATTTTCCATTGTAATCTGAATAGCACCTGGATAAGGAGGAAATTTGTCTAATTATCTCAAAACCTCATTGATTTCTTTCAGAGTAATTGTCAACAATATTCTGTATTGAAAAAGCAAATAAACAACATACATTCTCCTTCATTATGAGTAGACAGGGGCTCTCACACATACCCATGTGTCCACAGGTATCTGGATTCACCAGCCATCACCAACAAGCTGCGTCGAGGCAGCATAACTGCCACTGTGTGGCCATCAGGGTGTTTGAAATCCATCACAATCTAAAAGGAAAAAAAAACACCAGCCACCAATGAGCACGACTTACAGAGCATCGCATATTAGCTAGGCATTCTCAAGTCCTACCTCTGTGTGATAACCAAGATATTGCCACAAAACAGCTGCATATTTCCTAGGAAAGCAAAAGCCTTTGTCTCTATACTGCATTCTTGATATCTCTTCCTTTCAGCAGCGTGTTCAAAAATCTGAGACAACCACAAAACCTGCATATATAAACACATTCATATATATATACACACTTATTTTAATATTATAAATAATTTAAATACCAAAATAGTTCATTTTGTTTCTGCAGTAATAGTTTCCTTTACAAGAACATGGGAGCACTGTTAAATCTATGTACCTGTGATATAGGAAGGAATGATTCTCACTCAACTAAATGCAACTACATAAAGAGGGATCATTTGCTATAACTCAAGCATCTCCTAGTTAGGCAGCTGGGCTAAGGCATTCAACTACTGCCTTTTTGTGAGATTTACCCAGAGAGAGACAAGCATCTTCACAGGGTGATTCATCCTCCTCTATAACGCAGTTAACTGATGTGGATGAAATGCCTATCTGTTCACAGCAGTGAGCTGAGACAATTAACTCAGAGTAGATGCATAACGTTTAGGTAACCAGTATTAGGAGAGATAAATCATTTCTAACCCATCCGGATTCTTAGAGCTTTGCAGCACAAGGAGTCTCCCAAGATCCTGACACACATGCCAACTACCAGAGCAGCCTTTTCTCATTTGCCACCTGGCCTCTAACCACAGCAATGTACTGAGGTAATGCTTTCAGCTTCAATTCAATTTCACAGCCCAGATGGCAGTGCTACATTCTGCTTGGGCTACAAATGTTATCCTTTTACATCTCCCAAATGAGAGAAATTCTTTCTGTAGAAAATAAGGATCAGGTTCTTTCAGCAAGCCAAAGGGCTTAAGGAAGACATAGCAAGGAAAAAAAAAAAAGAAAGAAAGAAAGAAAAGTGATCAAAAATCATTCAAGTTGTGGTTCCAGCTACAATGGAAAACGAGCACCATGGCAGTGGCAGCACCTGATTGCAACCTACTTGCTAAGCACGTGATTTAAAAGCAGACTTACTACCCTTACCAGATCAAAACAAATTAAGCAATTCTGCTTCTGCATACAGATGCATTTAACACAGAAAACAATGGTGCAATGATCTTCATTCAGCACAAAAACAAACAACAAAAAAACAACAAAACCCAACAGACAGACTGAACATTTTGCAGGATTTACTATTTATTGCTGCGTGCAGTGGAGGAAAATACAATGGCATTTGTGTCTTCAGGAAAAAAAATGCTGTAGTACCATCTACCTAACAGCAAGAGCTTTTGCTCTTGTTGATCTACCTGAATTTAAGGAAGGAAATGAACGTGAAAAAACAATGGGACACAAAAGGGAAGTGCTATAGGGGAGAACAGGAATACAGCCTACCTATGAGCTCCATCCACTTAATGATTATGAAACACTCAAATGGTTACATAAATAAATGAACTGCAGCCATTTCATAATGTACTGCTTTTTTTTTTTTTGCATGTTGTAACTTATTCCAGGTATTGTCAAAGAAGCATAAGGTGAGGAAGGAGAAGAAACAGTGGCTCCACAGATCTGATGGGGAACCCATGCCATAAAACATGGCTAAGCACAAGCTTCTGTGAGAAGCAGCAGCTGTCTGCAAGGTAAAGAAACCAGAGGATGACTAAACAAGAACAGTAAGCAAAGGAAAAGTAAGAAAAGAGTTGATGAGCAAAGTGGCTGGATTAAATTCATGAAATGATATCTCAGGCTCTTCTGCCTCTTTGTCCCACTGTTGTTGAGGGACATGTGTGAGAGGTAAGAAACTAAGTTCTTCAGAAATGGGGAAGAACAAACTGAAATTGAGACTGTCCAAATTCCTTCCTGAAGGCCCTGCGTTCCTCTTTCTAGGTCAGCAGCAGCAACAAAGCCCATTGTTGCAGATAACATTCAGGAACAATACTTTTCTCTAGGAGTTGATTCCCAGCTCTGTGAGGTCTCCTACACTTCCAGTTCTCATCTCTCTCCAGTGTATGGGAGGAAACCTTGGCCTCCGTCATATCTCCACACGCCAAGTTGGAGACTCTGCTTAAAGAAGCAGCAAATATTTCTTCCAACTCTGTGCTGCTCATTTCCTCCAATTTCTCTTCCCCTACCAGCTGAAAAGCTCCCACAGTGCCTCTGCAGAGTACTGTGCATCCAAAGCAGCAGAGGTTCAGAGTGTCCTGTAACAGAGAACACACTGGAAATGACAGGCAAAAACAACAGTCCCTCGCAACTGAATTTTCAGGCAGAAGTGGCAGAAAAACAGATAATAAAAGAAGACAGTGCATGCTCTTGGTTCAACATTGGCTGTGATAAGCCAACAAGAAATAGGTGAAATGAATTTCTGTTGGCGCAGAATTTAAGGCTGAAAAACAGGAAGTTGCATACGTACACAGCATCTGGCAAGCCCAGTCCTCATCAGCAGGGAGTCCAGCTCTGTCCCTGCTCCTTATTTTTCTGTAGAAGAAAAGTTTGTGTTCTTATCTCACACTGTGTGGCTGCTCCCATTCTAAACAAATGCCACCCTTATAACAAGCAGCGATGATTTGGGACAAAATATAAATAAGGGATTAATTTACTTGCAAATGAGTAATGGCATTAAATAATTAGCAGTAATGGGAAGAATCAAAAATCCAAATCCAAAACTGACTTTTGCTTATGAAGCAGACAGATAGCTGGACAATATTAAGATTTTGCTGTTTCCTACCAATAATAAATTAGACACTGCAGTTCAGACAAATAATTAAATTTAAGGAACCTACTGTGTACATCTGAATAAAATAAATGTGATTTCTACATTAATATTTTATTTCTTTATCTAGAATACCTGCACCCAAAGGCTTAAAAACTGAGTAAAAGCACTTCTTCATTTTTTTGTCCGTGGTACAGTAGAGAACATTTAACCCAGATGGGTATTTGAAAAACTCTGTTCTTATCTCTGAAAAGCCTGTTACTGACTGAAGTAGATAATATTCCCCCACTCCTATATCTTTATCCTGGCTGGACATTCTAAATTGTCACTGTCACACACACATAAAAGATTAACGCATTCAGTCCACTTTTTAATTTACTGAGGATTCACAATCAATAAAGCAGCTGCCACTGCTGAATCAATCCACTTCATGACAGCTCTGCTCCACAGCAGTTATTTCCAATTACTTTCTTTTTTTTTTCCTAAAAACTTATTGTCCCTTTTTCTCTTAGGTGGCAGAGTCAATAAAGATCAAATTTCCATCTAGCTCACAGTGCATCACCCAGGACTCAAAAATAAAAATAGTTGGTGCTTTGATCTCACACAACTTTTACCTTTTTTCTTTGTACTGTTAAAGAAGTCTCTCTCTATACATACCAAACACTTGAAAGAAACACAAACAGCAAATAACACCTACTCATAGATTTAAATATCTTGTCATGATGCCTAGTGACAAGGGAGCAAGGGAGCATGTGACACAGTAAACAGCTTTCAAGAGGAGCTGAACAACAAAGCAAAGTGACATCCACATCACAAACATTGCTCCTCTGGCATAAAATATAGCTAAATGCAAAAAAAGAATGGAAAAGAATTCAGCATAAAAATGTAAGAAAAGAAAGTGTGCTTTTCTTGACTCCTATGGGAATGAGAAGTCTGTACTGCCTTTCATTGCAGAAGTACTGTACCTCAGGGAAGTGCAGGAGGGAGGTGAATTGAATGACTGTTCTATCAAATAAGTAATGATCCAAAGTCACAATGGAAATAATGCAATGGGGCTATAAGGACAATGTCAGTAAGGATTTCACTGCTACATTGTGGAACAAGCTGTAGCAGTGTTTTTCTAAGCTTCATCGCTAATGCAGTTTACATCTGATGATAAAAGATTGCCTTAGAAGAAACACTCTAAAACTCAAAAAAGTAGACTTGAAACAAGTTACAATCCAGAATGCATTTCAAGTCTCTGACATTATTTACTCACTTTTCAGAGAGAAAAGTCATATTAACATCTTACATAGCAGTTACCCCACATGTAAAACAGCTGAGGAATGCCTACTGCAGAGTCAGCTGTTTGCCTTTATGTCCACACACACAGACTGGACAACACTGGGGCTCTATGTGAAGATGAGGAGCTGCTGGCCACCGTGGATCTGAAGCCATCAATATTACCCTTCAGAGTGCCCTTCATTGCAAAAACTATATTAGCATCCAAAATTTGGGAATATTCTGAACATTTAGGAGAAGAGAGTGAATTAACTTCCCCAGACAGTCCATGTCTTGGGATATTTATCTTAGTAACCTGATGTTTATATATCACATCATGGTCTCTAGCCCTACTCTAGAAAATGAGTACAGTAACGGTGACTACCATTAAATACTCCAATGCTACTTACCTCAAAAGTCTCCAACAATGCACCAGGCCTCATCCATCAGATTTGAGCCAAAGCATACCATCTTGCATTAAGCTTGCTTATCTATTTAGACACTACACTGATCTTACTTAGATGTTTAATAATTTTTTTTCTTAAAAAATTGTATTCAATCTTCTATCCATGTAACGCATTACTATCTTGCTGTATATTCTGTGTTCAGCATCTTCAAAGTACTTAAAATTATCTTTTAAACAGGATGGAGACCAACTTTCTACATGGTCTGATAACGATGGGACAAAGGAGGACATTTCAAACTAGAATACAGAAGATTTAGATAAGATAGTAGGAGAAAATTCTTTACTCAGAGGGCAGTGAGGCCCTGGCACAGTTGCCCAGAAAGCTGTGGATGCCCCATTCCTGGAAGTGCTCGAGGCCAGGCTGGATGGGGCCCTGGGTGGTCTGATGTGGTGGGTGACAATCAGCCCATGGCAGGTGATTGGAACTGGGTGAACTTTAAAGTTCCTTCCAATTAAAGCCACTCTATGGCTATGTATTTCTTCCTCTTAATTTTAAG